CTGCACCACGCTGCCCGACGGCCACCGCGAGGAGGGCAAGTACCGCCACAACGTGCTGGTCAAAGGCACCAAGCGCCGCGTGCTGCCGCTCAAGAGCAACAAGGTTCGCCAGAAGGTGGAGCACAGCATGGAGGGCGCCCAGCGCGCCGCCGCCATCGCGCGCCAGAAGGCCGAGATCGCTGCCTCCAGGTAGGACCCGGCGTGGGCACCGATGGGATGGGCCCACTTGAGGAAAGGGGCCCTGGGACCGGGCCACCTAGGAGGCCATGTCTCCACACCTGCTTCTGCCCCCCTCCCCCTTTTTTTTAACCCTCAGAACATCTTCCAGGATCTTTAGAGAGTTCATTGGAGGCGCTTCGGATCTGGTGTCACCTGTTCTCCCTCAACTACTCCCATCCACCCATTTACCAACCCCTCCATACACTTAATCCTGCCATTCACCCAACCTTTCTAATATTCACCTGAACAACCAATCTTCACCAAGCGATCCACCCTACCCACCCACCCACTCCACTTTCTGTTTATCAATCCGACTACCCAGTCACCTACCCATCCACCCGACCACCCAGATACCCATCCAATCACCCAGTCACCCATCTGTTCACCCAACCCCTCCATTCACTCAACCTCTCCATCCATCCTACTCAACCTCTCCAACATCCATCTGAACAATTACCCATCCACTCAACCATTTCTTCATCCACCCATCCAACTTTCCATCTCTTTACCTACCCAACCATCCAGCCACCCAACCATCTAGACACCCATCCCAATATCCAGACACCTTTCAACCACCCATCCATCTCCTCATGTACAATGACCCACATTCACTCAACTACTTCCATTTACAAGGCACTCATCCTAATATCCAGCCATGTTTCCATCCACTGAAACAACATCCACTTCCACTCACCCAGTCATCCATCCATCCATCCATCCATCCATCCATCCATCCATCCAACCACCTCCATCTCCCAACCATACTTCCATCCAACCGTCTATCCATACTTCCATTTACTCAACCACTCTCACCTACCCATATGCCAGCCCTGCCTTCATCCATCCTCATTGCATCTATATTCTAACATCTTTATGTCTTCTCATTGTACTTCAGAAAAAGTTCTAATGTTGTCTTCAAACATTTATAGCATCTACTGTGTGCATGGCACTATTTTAAATGGTTTACGAATATTGACTCATTCTGTTTCCTTAAGGACCTTGTAAGATCGATATTATTTTTATTTCCATTTTACAGATGAGCCAAATGAGAGATAAGGTGACTGTGGCAAATCATCCATGTAGTAAGTGGCCCTTCATAATTGAGTTCCTACTTTCCTATTCAGCCTCCTTTTCTACCGTTCTTGACCTGCACCTGGATTTTTTCTCTGTGCTAGTCATGCTGGCCTTTTATCAGTCTTCTTTAGTTCTCCTGCCAGAGGGCTTTGGTTCTTCTGGTCCCTCTGTCTGGATGGCTCGTCTTTCCTCTTGCCCCTTAATTCCTACTTCTTCAGAGCTCAGGTCAAGCCTGAACCACTTAGAGAGCTGATGGTGCTCAGTCCCCTGTCACAGATCGACTATTACTCAGCCACATGGACATCTTCTTAGAATGTCTCACAGCAACATTATGCTGCTTAGGTGACTTGTTTTTAACCTACCACTTGTAGAGGGGTCCCTATGCACCAGTCATCGTTCTGAGGTCTTTACGGATATAAATTCATTCTATCTTTAACAGCTCTTGATGAGGTAGGTACTGTTGTTATTCCCTTTTTGCAAATGTGAAGTGAGCTGCAGGGACAGCAGTGGGTGTGGCAAGACAATCATAAAGGTACTTGCCTGTCCAGTGCCTGTAGCAATCCTGCCGGTGGCTCTACATGGACTGGGCTGGAGGCTGTGACACTGTGGTCTTTAGAGTAAAGCAAACCTAGGGTCAAATCTTGGCGTTACATTTTTTAGCTCAGAGACTTGGCAAATCAGTTTGCCTGTCAGCTTCGTTTCCCCATCCGTGGCACCACTGCTTCTCAGTTGTGTGTTCTTGGACAAATCAGTTTTCTTCTTCAACCTCAATTGTGTCATCTATTCAAATGGGGTTGGTCTAAGGGTTGAGAAAGATGGGTGCAGGTCCAGTGGCTGGTTCACACCCTGTAGTGGGATGAGTTCCAAGATGGAGATTAGTGTGCTGGAAGTTTCTGGGGAGTGCTCTGAGGACCAACACTTGTGGGGAAGAGAGGGAAGCAGGATTGGGCAGAGGGAGATGGGGCAGTCCCCACAAAGGCCTATGCCAACCACAGGGCCGTGCTGCAGTGGAGATGATCTTCATAGTCAAGTTGAGGTGAAGGAGCTGGATCTTTACATCCTCTCTGCTGGATGCAGGCGGCCCTCTGGAAAGGGGCATGACCTGGGGCCGGACGGTTTTCTTCAGCCAAGGGCAATCCCTGGACAGGGCTGACAGCCGGCAGCACTCTGAGCAGCTGGGGGTGGGGTGCAGAAATAATGTCTTCAGTCCTGAAGGGGGAACGGGGTGGTATATGACAGTATCCATTACAGTCTAGACACCTAGCAAAGGCTCAATAAGCCTTATTTGTTATGGTTGTCATTCAGTGTATTCATTTTACAGATGTGGGAACTGAGACCCTGAGAAGGAATGCAATATGCTCAAGACCACCTGGCAAGCAAGTGGGAGAACCAGGGCTTCAGCCCCTAGCTCTCTGATTCCAAGCTCTCCCCAGCACATCTTAGTACCGCTAAACTTTGTAAACTTTTAATTGTTGTGAACGTGTGAGCAGTTAGTACCATTAAGATGGAAAGAAGGTATGGGTAATGTTCATAAGGCTTCTTGGTTAGGGGCAGGGCCAGGCTTATGACCAGGGTGATCATATAATTTGTTTAAAATTGGACACTTTTATGAGTTAAAGGGGGCACTTTTAAAAAATAAAACTTACATATTAGAATAATTTTAGATTAAATAATTTTAGAAAAGTTGCAAGGATAGTACAGAAAGTTCCCACATACCCTCTGCCCAGTTTCCCCTAATGTTAACTTCTTACATGACCACAATACATTTGTCAAAGCCAGTTTGTTCGTTACTAGTAACTAAACTCCAGACTTCGTTTGAATTTTACTAGCTTCCCACTAGTGTCCTTTTTCTGTCCCAGGATCCCATATTGCATATAGATTTCAAGTCTTCTGAGTGTCCTCTGGTCTTTGACAGTTTCTCCGTCTTTCCTGTTTTTCTTGACCTTGACGGTTTCAAGGAATATTGGTCAGGTATTTTGAGAATGTCCCTCAATTCAATGCGGTTCTCATAATTAGACTGAGGTCATAGATTTGGGGGAAGAAGACCACAGAAATAAAGTGCCCTTCTCGTCACATCATATCAGGAGCACATGATCTCGACATGACTTACCACGGAAGATGTTGACCTTGATCACTTGGTTAAGGTGGTGTCTGCCAGGTTTCTCTGCTGTAAGTTACCATTTCCCCCTTGCCGTTCTCTGTTCTTTGGAATACATTAAGTTCAGCCCATACTTGAGGAGGAGAAGGTTCTGGAATTAAGCTCCAGACGGAGGAGTATCAATATGTATTATTTGGAATTCTTCTGTAGGGAAGACTTGCCCCTTCTTCCAAATGGGACATTTTATTTATTTATTTATTTATTCATCTTTATTGTTGAAAGTATTACATATGTCCCCCTCTTCTTCCATTGACCCCTTCTGGCCTGCACCGTCCCCCGCCCCAGGCCTTCACCACGCTATTGTCTGTGTTCATGGGTTGTGCATATGTACATGTAAGGTCTTTGGTTCATCTCTTCCCACCCCCACCTTCCCTTTGAGATTTGACAGTCTGTTCCATGCTTCTATGTCTCTGGATCTATTTTGTTCATCAGTTTATTTTGTTCTTTAGAGTCCACACATGAGTGAGATCATGTGATACTTGTCTTTCTCTGACTGGCTTATTTCACTTAGCATAACACTATCCAGGTCCAAATGGGACATTTTAAATTATTGTACTAAGTGTATATAGTTATGACAGGCATAAGCAAGGACTGTCCTGGGACATAGCAGAGCTTAGAGTAGGTAAGAGTGTAGGCTCTTGACTCGAAAGGCCATGAGTTGGAATTCTGGCCCTTGTACTGCAGAGCTGTGTGACCTTGCCAAGTTGCCTCACCACTCTGAGCCCTGGATTCTCGTTCCTCCTAGTGCTGTTTTGAGGAGTAGATGAGCTAATGCCTGTAAAATCCTGGCACAGAGCAGCCAGCGCTGAAAGCAGTCATTGTCATCATCTAACATGTTTGATTTTAAAGGTGAGGAAAAGAAGCTTGGGGACAAGGAAGGATTTCCCCAAGCTCTCACCTGTTGGGGCAAATTCTTGCCCCTCCCTGCCCCTCTGCTTTCCCTGCCCTTCTGCCCTCGGATGTGAAGGTGTTGAGCCCCCGCTCTGAAGGCTGCCAGGCCCAAGAATGAGAAGGTGGTATCCAGCTCCCTCCACACGGTGCTGCCAGGAGGAAGTGCAGGGGACATTTGGATTCCTCTTGTGTCTGAGTAACTTGTCCTGTGTGCCAGG